AACTGCCGATATGGAATCGAAGAGAACTGTGTCATTGTTCGTGGAGGAGAGATCCTGCCAGTGTAGTGGGTCCACAAAATTTTGAATTTAGTTAATATCAGCAAGGCCAAATGCATGATAGGCCCGAACGGCACCAGCCTTTTTCGGAGAGGCAAGCGGAAGAGGGCAGTGGATTATTGTATGGCCACTCTGGAAGAGGCCCTGCTCATAGTCAACGAAAACAGGAGCTATGTCGTTCGTAAAAATAAGGTCAATAAAATGACTATCTCTCGTTGGGGAACAGACCAACTAAGACTTGCCTGAAAAGTTAGTGGTATCTAGAAAGTGATGAAATCTGGATGGACAGCAGTTCAAAAGACAATCAATCTCGGGAAAATTGAAATCCCCAGCGATAATTTTAGCGTCGAAGGCGGACTCCGAAATCAGCTTAAATATTTCGCAAGACTTTTCATCACCTTGAGATGATGAGTTAAGGGGATTATAGATGCATCCGAGAATCCATTTTGCCGGGGAGACAGAATAATGAGTGCAAAGCAGTAATCGCCGGAGAATACTTGGCATCTAGATCGAACTGGAAATTTTTAAAAGATAGCTCTACTATAGAGAAGACAATCAGCGCCACGCTAACTATTGTGGTCTTGACGGTATAAATCATACTCGTCTATTATAAGTGAAGCATTGGAAATTACCGGATGGGTCCACGATTCTGCAATGCATATTATATCAGGCTGAGCTCGAATGCAATGGTTCTAAGTTGAGCCATCATATTTATAACAAATCTTGCGTTAAACAAGGTGATATCTAGTGTAGTTCGAGCAAGCAAACTAGAGTTACCGTTATTTAGAAATAAAAATTAGGAGGTGGGTAATTGAATTAGAAGTTCGGAGGCTAACTACCAACTTTATCAGGACAATTGGCATAAGAAGGCTGAGGGAAATATCTAAAAGCTGCATGCAGATAGCTTTGCGATATCGAAGGGCCATAGGGATTAGTGTTTTGACAAGCTTGTTGATAGTTACAAGAAAGTGGGGGCCAGCCTGGACACCCGAAAACATTGTTTCTCCAAAAGAGTGGTCGAAGCATGGAATGCTCTACCTCTGGATGCCTGAGGTTTTCTACGAAATGAAACCATTGCCTTCATTCTTTTTGGAGCAGCATGCAAAGCATCTACAGAAATTTTCTGGAATTCAGAAAAAATCTAACGGCTTAAGCTTATATAAACCCCTGAAAGTAAGACATATGGATCGCAAAACGCTATGGGAGCAATCAGAAAAAGCATCTAACCAAACCAACGAAGGAAATGGAAGCAGATATCTCACAAAGTAAGTATTAATACTTACGGGTAATTTATATGAGGAAAATAAAGACTATAAGTCGTTTCTTCCCTTAGATGAAGCGATTTATATAAATCTGACACTCATCTACAAATTGCAAAGAACCGCTCGACCTTGACCTTGTAAGCCTTGCAAATAATTTCTGACACACACTTCTAATGCAATGTTACGCATTTCACAGGAACGAGCGTTTTTAGATTTCTAGAAATTCGCCTCGAACGCGACTAAATCAGTTGAATCTTAACACGGACTGCGACAGGAAAAAATCATTGTACATTAACAGATTTATCGAGAAAATTTCCAGCACCTTTCGACTGTACATATGCCTACATAATAGTGACTATCGCTTAGTAAAATAAATGCATTAAACTAAAATACGGTCTAAAATACTGAAAGCCACATCTTTCCCCAAAACAAAAAAAGGTAAAGCAGTTTTTACGGACCTCGGCATAATCACACTGGAATTCTTTCCATCTTCTACCTGTTAACCAAGTTTGCCTATTGGACTAGAACCTGTTATAACTAGCACTGCCAAATTTAACTAGGGCAAGTAGGAAACAATTAAAGACATTTAAATATTGAAGTCCCGATTAAACATTTCCATCATCTGAACGGAATTGAAATGTAAACTACCACCATCAAAGGTCTTCTGAATCATAAACCAAATCATTCCATATTCTGAAAAATATTTTGTCTCGTATTATAGAGAATAATCGTCTACATAAGAACCAACTTGGAGTTCTATACTTAAACCACGAGGATCCTCACTGTCAACTGCAAGTGGATAAGATGTTTCCTGAGAAAATACAATCAATTCAATAATGGTCAGTAAATAATTGTTTGATCACATGCGGAAGCTCATCCTGAGTGCTATTGCTTCAACGTTGTGCCAGAGTCTGTGCTAAAACACAATATAAGGCGCATTTTGAAGACCAAGGTTAGTGAGTTTGACAGAGTTCTGGCCGTCAAGGATTAAAAACAAGCCGTGAAGCGTTTGAAGCAGCTTATTTGGGCACGACATTGCCCTCCACAACACGTCCAGAAGGTCATATGTCCCCCTGCGCAGGTACAGTGATTATACCAACTCGCACATGATTATCTTGCCACTGATTGAGCGGACGGTGCTCAATAATCAGTGAGGTGAAGCCAGTACCAAGCAGCCAGTTTTTGCAGAGAGGAGAAATGTGCCCAAGGCTGAGTAAACTGTCGAAGAACTGTAGCAAATTCACTGGCAGTAGGCTAAAGAACACCCACTGAAAAATAATCTGGTTCTAAAATTTCACTGATTAAAGGCTCTGTAGTCGTTTCCAATAAGACCTTTTAAGAAGAGGAATATGTTAAGTATAGCAGTCGGAATGTCTAATGTGGTTTAAGGAGTGTCACTGGCTTCACTTCTGTTAATGGACTAGAATTTCCTGTAACCAGAAGTTAAAATGCCTTCAAAAACCCTCACCAAGGCATTTCAGTCTTCGTTTGGTGATTTTTCTTCAGGTACCTCGGGGCCGTCTTTCCAGAGTGCAGGTACAGTTCCGGCATCGCTTTTTCCAAAATTAAATGCAAAATTCGTCCACATACCACCATTCCGGCTATTCTGTCTTATCGACATCTGTGGCGATGAAAACCTCCTAGTGCTAACCAATGATAATGATGATTTTAACTGTAAACTTGTTACCCTTTTCCGTCCTTTCCCTTGCTGCAGCAATTGGAATTATTCTTCGTGTACCGCCAAACCACAAATTTCCCTCCTTAGTGACGGCTAAAAGCTCCATTGGACCAATTTTTTCACCTTCTACGAATAATATTGCACCTAAATATTATATTAGTGTTGAAAGCCTTTTCTCTGCATCCCTGGGATCTTAATGTAATTATTCGTTCAGTCATATACTAAGGCGTTATAATTTGGTGTATAACAGCGCGCTTAATTTGCCCTGCGATTGGACAGCTGTTTTTGATATATTCTAATGGCTCGTGCTATGAGTTGAACAGGGTTGTAAAT